AGCTGGCATCACGCTGGACAGTTAGCTATCAGGTAGATCGTAGAGAAGCGTAGCCACACGGAGCGCTCGCTTCGGACACCATAGTCGTACATCACACCGGAACACGCAGTTGTTTCTCTTGTTCAAACTTTAAGGAATTGCTAACCGTCTGTCGGCTGGGTGCATCAAAGCATCTTGGAGTAAATTCACTGTACAAGGTAACTTGCAGTTAAGTCAAAGAATGTCCATTCACCGGGTTGGAATTTGGGACCACCTCCGTAGTTCGATGCCGATCTCTTACCATCGTGCCACCGCGTCCCGAATCTGCAATGAATCACGATAAAATGGTGTATAAGCGATGTTGCTTCAGCTGAAGAGTGGTGTGGATGCAACAGAAGAAAAAGGAATACGATTTCTCAGAGTTTGTGAACCACTGGCAAGCGAATGATCGTTTAACACAGCAACCATAGTTGACAATAACTCATTTCTTTGGGGAACTCGCCCAGATGAGAAAAACAAAGTAAATCTATTTATCTTGACCATACGTACATTTAAAACGTGAAATGTGGATGTCTACCTTCAGCAGTGAGTGTAACGTTCAAAAGCGAAGCATAAATTACACAACATTAATGGGTTACTACATGGTCGAAGTTTTTACTCTGTGAAATAAAGGAGACAAAGCTGGATAAAGCATAGAAAAGAATTTAAAAGTCCGCTACTTAGCGACTGAGACGTAGACGTCATGCACTGAATGGTTTGCTGTTGGATATCGAAGTACTGAGCCCCAAATATATCAATCACAGACTCGTTAGGACTGATTGCTTTCAAGCTGATGGTAGACCGGTCGAAGAGCGACCTCTCGTCCATCGGTGTGGCAAACATGCTGAACCCGTCATTGTAATGTTTGCTGTACTGTTTATCTGCATTGAGTAGCAAATCTACGATCGCCTCTCTTTCGGCAATGGTCTTGTGCATGGTTGAGCACATTACCACCCTCCTCGGTATTCGAAGCCAGTGGCAAGTTTCGTATTCACTAAACGGTCTTCTTCGGCCATTGAGACAAAGCAGCTCGTATAAACCATCGACGTTCATCAGATGATGGTCGAACGGCTTCTGCCATTGGACAAAGGCAATATCTGGCTCTTGTCCAGTGTCATCTGCGGCTTCATAAGATTTGCCAGACATGCAAAAATTA